ATGAGGCTGCGGCCTAGGCGCGGCGGGGGGGTCGTGCACCAGGGGTCCCAACAATAATTATTCTTTAGAAGTAATAATGTTCAACAACAAAAAATGCTCAAACATTGACACACAAAAAACAAGCAAAAAAAATCGTCCCCTGACGTTTTTTGACTATTTTGCAAGATTTCCCCTGGCGAGGGACACGCCCGACGTGACCGTAGAGCCACGCAGGCGGAGAGCCGTGCAGGCCCGAGCCTGTGCGTGGTGGCTCTCTCCGCGGCGGCAGCATCGCTGCTGCTCAGGGGGCCCCGCCGGGGCCACCTCCCTGCAGCCCTCGATCCCCGCACGCTCCTCGCCCCCCCCCCCACAAGTGCTGGAGCCAGCTTTTGTACCATCTGCGGCGCCCAAACACATGTACACCGGCACCGCCTCCCTCCCCCCCTCCCTCCCCCAGGGGAAGGGGGGAGGAGGGAGAGGGTCGTGGAGGTGGGGGGAAATCGACGTGGTGGTGGTGCATGTTCTTGGGGCCCGCATCATTCGCGAAAACGCCCGTGACTGGCCCCGCCCACCCCCCCTCCCCTCCACCCCCGACGTGGTGGTGGTGCATGTTCTTGGGGCCCGCATCATTCGCGAAAACGCCCGTGACTGGCCCCGCCCACCCCCCCTCCCCTCCACCCCCCCTGGCCACGTCACGATTCGCGCCGACGCCGTCTGGGCACGTGGCCATGCTCGAGCATTCCCGAGCGGCGCTGGCGCGCATCGTGACGTGGCTGGCCCCCTCCCCCCTCCCCCCCCCGCAGGCTTAGGTCGGGCATGTCCTCCTACAGGCGTGTTTGGGACGAAAAATGAGACATAGCCCAAAGATATTCCCAAAAACTGACAAACAAATAATCGGAAAGTCGTCCCCATGCTATTTTTTGACTATCTGGGAGTCTTCCTCCGCCTGTAGAACGACGTGCCCGACGTAACCCTGGGCACGCCCGGTATCGCCAGTGGGTACCAAAAAACGATCTCCTGTCCGCCCTGGGCGCGGCGTTGTGTGCCCGTCGGGCGCAGCTGTAAGTGGGGGAGCGATCAATGGGGTCAGGTCGGGCACGTCCTCTACTCTCGGCGGTGGACAAACCTCCCCTTAGTAGACCTCCCCTTAGTGAACACGGCCTGGGACCGAAATCGACGGACCTGGACCCGCAAAAATAACGGCCGCGACGCCCCCTCGCGAACCGAAAACGTCCAATTCACAAAATCGACGTGTCAGGGTAGGAGGTCTATCAACCTCCGATAGTTTGGCCGGAAAAACAAAATCATCAACAAATAGCTGAAAACAGCCGAAACACAACGGAAAAATCGTCCCCGACTTTTGTTTGGCTCTTTTGGGGAGATTCCTCCTGTAGAGGGACGTGCCCGACTTCCCAAGGAGGGCAAGAAACGGCGTGCACCGTTCGGGCTCCCTCTGGGCCCCCAAGGGGTCCACGTAGGACCCCCATTTAGGGCACAAAGTGTGCCCCCTTCTTGGCGGCGCGCACGGGGGGGAGTTAAGGGGGAGGGGGGAAGGCTTCTCAGAAGGAGGCTGCCTCTCGGCGTGGAGCGGCACGGCCGACAGCGCGGCCGACGGGCGGTGGGCCCGAGGGGCCGCGGGCTCCGCCGACAGCTGCTCCCCTCCCCTTGGGCGGGGGCGCAAGACGGGCGCCGAGCCGCCCCTGCGCGTGCGGCCAGGAGGGAGGAGGAGAAGGAGGAGGAGGAGGAGGAGGAGAGAGGGGAGGAGGAGGAGGGAGGAGGGGAGGAGGAGGAGGAGGAAGGAGGTGGAGGAGGGGGTGCAGGAGGAGGCTTGCTTGAGGGAGCGAGGATCTTGGAGGCGGAGGAGGAGGAGGAGGGAACGGGGCAGGCTGGCGGAAGTTGCTCAAGGTGCCCCTGGCCCAAGGTACCCCCAGCTTTGCGCCCAATTTTGGGGCCCCTGGGGCCCTCTGGGCCTCGTAAGGGGTGCTCTGGTGGCCGTGGGGGCCTCCATGGAAATCCTGGGGGCACCTTGGCCAGGGGCACTTCTAGCAATACCCGAGGCACGGGAGTATCAATGCTCAGTGCTCGGCGCCGGCGAGGGACACACGGGCTGGATGCCGAGTTCCGTCCGCGACCCTCGAGGGGATCGAGGGAGGCGGCCTTCGGGGGAGGCTCCGACAAAACTTGCTCGATCGGCCTGCAGAGACACGAGGAGCTCCACGCTGTTCCAGGGCAGACTTCGCTGCCGTGCGGAAGGGGGAGGAGGAGGAGGAGGAGGAGGAGGAGGAGGAGGAGGAGGAGGAGGAGGAGGAGGAGGAGGAGGAGGAGGAGGAGGAGGAGGAGGAGGGGGAGGAGGGGAGAGGCAGGCAGACGCCGACGAACGCGCAGGCTCCCTCCTGGGCCTCCCAGACCTCTGGAGGCCTCCGGGGACCCATGGGGACACATGGTGACGTCCGGGGGGGTCAGGATCGGGGGGACTCGGATGCTCTGAAACACGCTGGGGGCGAGTCTTCTTGGCGTTCAAAAGCGGCGTGTGCTTCCGAGTCGGTGGCCGTTGTCCGTCCGTTCTGCTGGTTGTTACATACCCGTTGTCTTTCGGAGACCGTGTCCTTTCCGTTTTCAGGTCTGGACCAGGCCTGCGCCTTACCGCGCCGTGTTTTATCCGTGAACTAGGAGCTTTCAACACGTTGTCAGCTACCCCACAGCCGCCCATCGTGTTTGAGCCGTTTCGGCTGTGTGTTTTTTCCCCATTTGGGTACTCCGCTTTCTGCCTGTTTGGGGCTTTCACACGAAATCATGTTTCCCGCTTTGGGCTTCCATATTGTTTCCCACTTGGTCGGCCGCGACCAGGAAAGTTGAGAACGGAGGAAAAAACCTGGCGTCTCTTAGAGCAACTAAGCCCGGGAAGCAAGCAAAACTTACCAACCACATGTGGGAGGCCCTTCTGGGGATCAAAATCTTACCGAACGCATCCTGTTCCCCAGGCACCAACTGCAGCATCCCGAATGCCGTCGAGAATGGTCAGCATCTTGCCAGAGCTCATGTGCATGGCGACTGGAAACTGAACCAGCTCCCTGGAAACGTCCACGGGAGTGCTGGGCCAAACTAGACTGAGGGGTGTCTCAATGATCGGCGCGCAGATGCCCTGTTCCTGATAGATAACTCCTCCCTGTCGCAGCCACAGACGTAGCGTCAGGGCGGGACGGCCGTCTCGCCTGAGACTTCTTCACCGCTTATGATACTGAAGCTTGAAAGTTGCAAAGCTGCAACAGCTTCAAAGGTTCCGGGTGGACGGGAAATCTCAACATGGAGCACCCACCTCTGCGCCACACACATTCGTTTAAAAATCAACGTTCGCCAAGATGGAGCGGGTGTTTTTCGAAATGTGACTCTCGCCTCAGCGCTCCGCACATTCCTCACAAAAACTTCGAACAGCTTCAAGGATGGAGGGGGGATCAAAATGAAACTCTCGCCTTAGCGCCACGAACCCTCATCTCAAAGGGTTGCAGCAATTGCAGGGATGGAGCACGGGTGGTTTTCAAAGTACGTTTCTCGCATCAACGCAGCTCACCTTCGTCTCTAAAGCTTGTAATTGCAACAGCTCCAAGGATGAAGGGTGACTACGTTCCACGCCTTAGCGGCACGCGCATTCGCCATAATGGTTTAAAATGAATGAAAAGATGGAGGGCGGTTCTGTTTCAAAACGGGGCTCTCTTTTTAACGCCATACACAACGCCGCAAGAGCTTACAAGCGTTATTCTCCAAATAGGCTTGCCCTATAGGAGCCCTAGCTCATCATAAGTAATTGGTCTTTAAGACCCCTCCCCCCCTTTCCAATGGCACCCCAATTATTTCCAATGGCACCCCCCTCCCCCCTCTTTTTCCAATGGCACCCCCCCCCCTTTTCCAATGGCACCCCCCAGATATGTCCAATGGCGAGTCCTGTGCTTGCTCTTGCTTGCTTGCACTTGATCGCTGGCTCTCGCTTGCTTGCTCTTGCTTGTTTGCTTGCTCTTGCTTGTTTGCTCTTGTTTGCCCTTGCTTGCTTGCACTTGGTCGCTAGCTCTTGCTTGCTTGTTATTGCTCGCTTGCGCTTGCTTGCTTACGCTTGCTTGATTTTGCCCCTCCCGTCCTCCTCCCGTCCTGCTCCCGTCCTCCTTTCGTCCTCCTCCCACCCTTGTCTCGTCCTCCTCCAGTCATCCTATCTATTTGGAGTCAACACTGGCTGATATAGAGATGGAGGGCGAGGCATTCTTGTGATTGAGTGCTAGCTTGAGACTTCCTGCGACACATATATGTATATATATGTATGACATGATGGTACAACAGATGTCGCAGCTGCACGGACGGAGGGCGGTGTCTTTTCCAATGTGGGCCCTCGCTTGAGAAGTCCTCAGCTAGCTGCCAGGGTGGAGGGCGGCTCCTCGTCGAAAGGGGACCCCCGCCTGGAGGCCTCTACGAAGCTCTCGTGGGGCCAGGAGCGCAAGCCTGTGCAACAGTTACACAGACACGAGCGGTTGTCCTTGTCAATCTGGTCATGCCTGCTCATATGCCGTTCCACTCGCTCGAATGATGCGAGGCACTTCCTTTTCAAAACGGGGCTCCCGCCTGCACGGCAGGCCCGTGGGCTGCTGGTCTTTCAGTGGGGGGGGGGGGGGCACTTCTTGCAGCGCGAAAAACGACTATTATAGGGACTCGTGAAGCATCGTTGATGCATGAAGGGTTAACTCTTGTCCTCCTCTTCCTCCTCCGCATCATCACCATAGTCAGCATCACCTCACTCCTCCCCTCCTCATGGCCTCCCTGCCCGCGTCCCGGGCCACAAGAACTTCATCTGGGTGACGGCACTGGCGCTCCGAGACTCCTCTCGACTTACAAATGCCGACAAAGACCCCCTGCCATCCCCAGGACCCCGTCCGGAGGATGACGACGAGGAGAAGATGGATGATACTCAAAAGGCGGAGGGTGAGGTCGACCCACCCCCCGCTCCCAGCTACGGTGGCCGTGCACATCTTGGTGAGGGG